GGGGAGGGGAGACACCTTAACATTAGACCCCCACCCACACACACACAGCAAGCAGGAGTCTCTGGGAGCAGCTCCAAGGCAGAGGGCAGGAGCAGCACATGGCAGTGGGGGGAGGGATAGCTGAACTGCTGGCAATTGATAGCCTGCTGGGCGGCTGCCGCACAGGAAACTTAGGGGAGTGGGGAGCTGATGGGGGGCTGCTGGTCCACCCTGGTTCCATGCCCCCACCAGCTCGCTCCAACAGGCTGCTCTTCCTGCAAGCAGCGGACAAAGCAGGTGGCTGCCAAACAACGTTATAAGGGAGCATTGTGCAACTTTAAACGAGCATGTTCTCTAATTGATCAGCAATGAAACAATGTTAACCGGGATGACTTTAAGTGAGGAGTTATTATACTAAACGTAGTGCTTTTTGCTAACCAGGAAGATACATTATCTATACACATTTAAGCAATTATGTAGCAGAACTTACATTTATTCATATTTTTAATTTTTATCTTTTTATTATGGTAGAAAATGGCAAATGATGCATTTCTTATTTACTTACTAGATGCTGGGGTTTTGTTTTTTACTTGTGACTTGTCAAACTATTTCAATGGAAATTCAAATAAAACTGCACAAAAACAACATTTAAAAAATTACTTTAATCTACCTTAAACAGTGCTGGGTACACAAGGAAAAAAATTATCAAAGTATTTTGCATTTAAAACTGATTTATTAAATGAAGGAAGCATTATCTACAGTTAGTGAATTGAACTGATTGTTCCAGATCTCATCCTCTCACACCTAATTTGTATTCATAGATTGAAAGAGGAAAACAAGCTTTCTTGCTTTGTCAACGCCCAATCGGTTTCTTAATTTTGAACGAACTCGCCATTGAAGTGAATTAGCTAAATACACAACAATGAAGAAAATAGTCTCTCTGCACCTGCAGCAGAGGCTACTGCTGACAAAAGCTGATTTAGCTCTTCAACAAACGCTGGTTCCAGGGACTTAGCCAGAGACTTCCCCCAGTTCAGTGGTTTGACTTTCTTTAAAATTTGACAGCAAACATCCTGCTTGTTATTTTTTGTATTTAATGTAATTGACTTTAAGGTACTATATGTTCAGGTGTTGATATAGATTTTCAATTTCAAATGTAAGTACATTTATTTTTAAAAAATAAATTGGTATTTAATTTAAATCAAAAATCCAGTTTTTTATTTAAATCAGATTTTTTACAATATCTTTAATCACTTTACTCATTAATTTGTATCCATCCTGCATCAGTCAGAGTCACGGGGACACTCTTCTTTCACAAATCCTGGTCTTACAAACAGTGACACTTGTACTAAGTGCCCATTCAAGCAACTGCCAAAGAGATGAGTAGTCTAATAAAGGTGACTGAATTTGAGCTGGGAAGGTGAAGGGAATACAGGCAGAGATTCAAGCAGATGCATGTTTTAAAACACACTTATAAATAAATAAATGGAGATATCCTATCTCCTAGAACTGGAAGGGACCTTGAAAGGTCATTGAGTCCAGCCCCCTGCCTTCACTAGGCAGGACCAAGTACTGATTTTTGCTCTAGATCCCTAAGTGGCCCCCTCAAGGATTGAACTCACAACCCTGGGTTTAGCAGGCCAATGCTCAAACCACTGAGCTATCCCTTCCCCCCCGAGTACATGCTCAGTCCAGTTCCTAGTGACCAGCACGTCCATGTAATAAAAACCACAGCTGGTGCCTCTGTTGGTAGCCCCAGCAGACAGGCTGGAAACTGAACAGCCCTCCTGCTCCCTAAAATGAGGTCTCCTGGTCAGGGTGGAGGTACACTGGCAGCAAGGTCCCCATTTATCAGAGACCCTGCAACTGCATCTAGACAGGAGTTGGGCTCCACACAGCAACACTGACACATTCAGAAGAAGCCGAGTGATGGCAGAGTAATTAATCTGCAGTGCAAACTGTTTGAAGTGCTGTGGGAATGAATGGCTAGCAGAGGCAGGACTCTGCTCCACAGAAACCCCAACGGCTTTCCGCAGACTCAGAAGGCATCGAGCTGTTTCTTTGACTTGTACTTAACAAATACCTGTAACAGAACCACTTTAATTTTTTTCTGTCAAAGTGAACATTTTCAGAAACACTCAGGAAGAACACAAGATACTGCTAGGCAGCCACAACTCCCCTTTCACAGAAGCTTTTTTTGTTAGTGAGTTTCACTATCACCACTTTCTCAACACACAAGGGAAGAGGCGATGAGGGAGCTGCCTGGGCACAGCTTGCTCAAGCTACCGGCACCATGAGAGAGAGATGGAATGTGGTACCCATGGGGCTGTGAGGAGTGCATCTGCGAGCTGGAGGACAGCAAGGGGTAGGTCCTACTAGGGAGAGACTCTACACTCCATCTGCAGTATAGGAGGCTCACAAAGGTGTGACATGGCCCATTCATCACAATGGGAAGTTCTTAGCTGAATGAGCACATCCCCCGCAGATGAATACAGACAAACAATAGCTGAGAGGTATCAAATCTTGTCAGTGGGTATTCTCTTCCCAACCCTCCCCTGATCTCAGAGCTGTGTGCTAATGGCATGCTCTCTGCGTATCCATTCTCTGCTCCCATGTTCTTAGCGCCCACCCAGTTACTGGTCGGTCTTGTATCCAGTAGCATTTAAAAGAAATGGGTGATAGTCTCATTCTCCTGGCCAACAGCTCACAGCTCCAACCATGACATCCTGCTTTTAGAAGACACTTCCCTTATGCGTCAGGACCAGGTAAGGGCAACCACAATTTTTATTTTAAAAAATGTTTATTTGTCAAACCAAAGTAATAAATACTTTTAAGAAGGACAGTGTTAAAACAATGAAAAATGTGCCATCTTAACAAGGATGAACCAGAGGATTCTGCACTGCTGCTGGGAAAACTCCAGACAATGGGTCTGAGGCATTTACAATGAAGAGCAGGCGGAGCAAGGTTCATGCCGTACAAGTGATCCTACCCCCTCTATATCTGCAAGTGTGCAGTTCTGTATGGTTTTTTTTATTATTGCCCATGTTCAGCAGAAAGATGCCTGGGAACACTGAGCTCTGACCACCACTCATCCATGTTGTTTCCTGGTCTAAAATGCCACTGGCAATCCTGGGATGGCAGACAGAGGGTCTCATTCTCCAGAAGCCTGCATCTGCTTGCAGAAGGCATCGAACTGCTGCTGTTCAAGCTCCGTCATCACTCTGTTCAGGGCGTAGATCTGTGCAGAGAAAAGGGAAGTGATTGAGAATAACACTTGCCACGTAGGGCCGTAGTTTTCGTGCTGGGAGACTGAGGTCCTAATCTGCTTCTAGGAATTGTCTCTTTCAAGCATTAAAGAAACTGTATCCATGCCAAGAGGCACCTCAACTTCTAACTACAAAGAGACCTTATCACTCTAAAAGTCACACTTGTCTCAAATGCTTTTACCTGCTACAAGTAACCCCCAAAGATTCCCATAGCTGAGAGGAGGAAAAATGATTTGCTGTTTTTTCAGCCTCCTTTCTGCACACTTGTCAGTACAGCAGTCTAGCCAGTTTGTTGGGGTACACAGCTAGTCCCACCTGTTCAGTCTGTCACTGTCCCGTTTGTGGGTCTCTCTGTATGGCAGAGGGGAAAGAAATACATGCGTTGAAATGTAAAGTGAGCCCCCTGGCCTGGACGATTTGGGGCAGGGGTCGCCCCCAAAGCCACATTTAACTCATTTCTGAAGGTGGCAGCATGAGTGGAGCACACAGTAAGGAAGAGCAGATCCCAGAGCTGCTGTGGCCATTGGCACATTTGCCCTCAGCTAGAAGTGGGCTAGGCCTCCAAGGATGAGTGGGTTCTCTACAGATGAATGTTGAAGGCACTTTCAGGTTGACTGTAACTTCCCCTCTGCTGCCCTCCTGTGTTGATTTTCAAGGGAGCACATCTCATCAAGCTGCCACTGGGCTTTCTCCCAGATCACTTGAGTGCAATAGCTTTAACATCAGAGACCCACTGTTCAGATGCCCTCGCCAGAGCTCCTAATCAGATGTCTGCTGCCAAAGCAGCACTTTGCACAGGAGAGAAGTAAGGGAAGTTGACTAGGGCTATGTGCTCTCTGCAACAAGCAGTATCTTTACAGTCGGAGAGAGCTATGGAGGGAGTGGATTACAGGTGCAGCCAGAAACAGACAGGCATTTTAAAGGACAACGTTTAGTTGCTGCCATTGATCACAGAAACATTTTGGGAGGAGCAAAAGATCAGGAAAGAAAAAGTACGGAGATGGGAGCAAGAGCAAGCAGTGCTCCCAAGGGGTATGTCTACACTACAGCGGCACATCTATGGTGCTTCAGCTGTGCCATTGTAGCACCATGGCATGGCCACTTCCCACAATGACAAAAGTGGTTTTTCTGTCACTGTAGTAAAAGCACCTCTCTGAGCAGTAGCTAGGTCTACTGAGGAATTTTTCCATTGAGTCTACAGTGGGGATTAGGGCAACCTAACTACATCAAACTGGACATGAAAGTCTTCCACAGCCTTGAGCAATGTAGCTAGGTGGATCTAACTTTTAGGTGTAGACTAGGGTTACAAATGCCACATCATAGAATTACAGAATATTAGGGTTGGAAGAGACCTCAGGTGGTCATCTAGTCCAACCCCCTGCTCAAAGCAGGGCCAACACCAACTAAATCATTCCAGCCAGGGCTTTGTCAAGCCGTGCCTTAAAAACCTCTAAGGATGGAGATTCCACCCCCTCCCTAGGTAACCCATTCCAGTGCTTCACCACCCTCCAAGTGAAATAGTGTTTCCTAATATCCAACCTAGACCTCCCCCACTGCAACTTGAGACCATTGCTTCTTGTTCTGTCATCTGCCACCACTGAACAGCCTAGCTCCATCCTCTTTGGAACGCCCCCCTTCAGATAGTTGAAGGCTATCAAATCCCCCCATACTCTTCTCTTCTGCAGACTAAATAACCCCAGTTCCCTCAGCCTCTTCTCCTAAGTCATGTGCCCCAGCCCCTAATCATTTTCGTTGCCCTCCGCTGGACTCCCATTTTCCCTCCACGGGAATCATGTGAGTCATCAACATTTAGGCACATGCTATGTGTGCAGCTTGGCAGTTCATTTGCCTACAGCTTAAGAAGAAAAGTTCACTCGTGATAAACAATTTGTCAGAACAGAGCTGGAAAGTCCTTCTTCTATCACCCTTTTCCTACAATCCTAGGGGTGCAGTGTCATGCTCCCAGTCTCACTCCATTAGTTGGTGAAGGCAGCATGTAACCACGCATGGTGTAACTGTGCCCCCTATTGGCCCATGGGAATGGTATCAAGAACTTCAAGAGCAAACTCAGGAGCTGGAGGAGAGCGGCAAAGGCAAGAGGCATTTACAAGACAAGGAGGATTAGATGGGAAAGAAACAGCCCTCCAAGAACATGTTCAGATACAACATATGGCACCTTGCCTACACCGCATTTATTCATGTTTTATGCCATTATCAAGAACAAGGAAACTCATTTAAACACAGTCAGGAAAGCAAGAGTTAAAGTTCTCATAGTCAAGGCCGCCGAGAGCAGGTTCGGGCCCCGCTGAAAAATTTTTTGGGGGCCCCCTAACAAGGGCGGACCGGCTAAACAGGGCCGGACGAAGGGGGGCGAGGGCAGAAGCTGGGCCCGGAATTTTTTCAGGCCCCCCAGCAAGGGCGGACCGGCTAAACAGGGCCGGACGAAGGGGGGCGAGGGCAGAAGCTGGGCCCGGAATTTTTTCAGGCCCCCCAGCAAGGGCGGACCGGCTAAACGGGACCGACGGG